TGTGCAGCTCTGAGCGGGTGCGCTTGAGCGGGTGTGCTTACCATTTGCCAGGCGTGTGTGCAGTGCTGAGCGGGTGCGCTTGCGCGGGTGTTCTTACCACTTGGCAGGCATGTGTGCAGTTCTGAGCGGGTGTGCGTACCATTTGGCAGGCATGTGCGCAGTGCTGAGCGGGTGCACTTGAGCGAGTGCGCTTACCATTTGGCAGGCATGTGCAGCGTGCGCGTGAGCGGGTGTTCTTACGATGTGGACACAGTGCTGACCGGGTGCACGTGAGCGGGTGTGCAGTTCTGAGCGGGTGCACTTGAGCGGGTGTGCTTACCATTTGGCAGGCATGTGTGCAGCTCTGAGCGTGCCAAGCGTGGATGCAGTGCTGACTGGGCCCACGTGAGCGCGTGCTTACCATTTGGCAGGCATGTGTGCAGTTCTGAGCGGGTGCGCTTGAGCGGGTGTGCTTACCATGGTTTCGCGAAGCGACGCGCCTGTCAGTCAAAATTCATGTTTTTGTTGAGCGGCCGTTGCTGAATCTCCCACGCAGGCCACACGAAATCGACCTCGTACATGTCGCGAAAACGGGCGATCGCGTGGTTTCGCGAAACGACGCGCCTGTTCAGCCAAAATGCATTTTTTGATCGGCGGTTGCTGAATCTCCCACGCAGGCCGCACGAAAATGACCTCGTACATGTCGCTAAAACGCGCGTGAAGAACGTCGGAGCCAACACCAAGAACAAGAACAAGAACAAGGTGTGCTTCTGCCTTCTGTGTCAGGCGTGCGTGATTTGACAAAATGACTGTCTGAAACCTGCGTTTGGTGCACAAGGGAAACGAGGAGAAAGTTGTCTTACACAAAACCATCCTCAAAAGCAGGAGGGTCTTTAAATCAATGGACGAGAGCTTCCCACACACTGCTTGAATGTAAGGTCTGGAACCTGCTTCAGCGAACGTCGACTCCAAGTTTTCATTTAGGAAAAACTGAGGGGCGCCCCAAAATCATCCCCAGAAAAAACAAGGGGGGCCAGCGCAGAGGCAGTGTGGCGGGCGCGCTGGAACGGGTGTGCTTATCATGTGCCAGCGTGTGGACAGTGTGGCGGGTGTGCGCTGGAACGGGTGTGCTTATCATGCCACCATGTGGGCAGTGTGGCGGGTGTGCGCTGGAACGGGTGGCGGGTGTGGACTGGAACGGGTGTGCTTATCATGTGCCAGCGTGTTGGCAGTGTGGCGGGTGTGCGCTGGAACGGGTGTGCTTATCATGTGCCAGCATGTGAATAGTATGACGGGTGTGCGCTGAAACGGGTGTGTTTATCAGTCAGCATGTGGACGCGGCGGGCGTGCGCTGGAACGGGTGTGTTTATCATGTGCCAGCATGTTGGACAGGTGTGCTGGAACGGAAACACTGTGGCGGGTGTGCGCTGGAACGGGTGTGCTTATCATGTGCCAGCATGTGGGCAGTGTGGCGGCTGTGCGCTGGAACGGGTGTGCTTATCATGTGCCAGCGTGCGGGCAGTTTGGCGGGTGTGGGCTGGAACGGGTGTGCTTATCATGTGCCAGCATGTGAATAGTATGACGGGTGTGCGCTGAAACGGGAGTGTTTATCAGTCAGCGTGTGGACAGTGCGGCGGGCGTGCGCTGGAATGGGTGTGTTTATCACGTGCCAGCATGTTGGACAGGTGTGCTGGAACGGAAACACTGTGGCGGATGTGCGCTGGAACGGGTGTGCTTATCATGTGCCAGCATGTGGGCAGTGTGGCGGCTGTGCGCTGGAACGGGTGTGCTTATCATGTGCCAGCGTGCGGGCAGTTTGCCGGGTGTGGGCTGGAAAGGGTGTGCTTATCATGTGCCAGCGTGTTGACAGTGGGGCGGGCGTGCGCTGCAACGGGTGTGCTTATCATGTGCCAGCATGTGGGCAGTGTGGCGGGTGTGGACTGGAACGGATGTGCTTATCATTTGTCAGCATGTGGACAGTGTGGCGGGTGTGGGCGTCAACTACACAGCTACCCAAACACGCTGGTATTTGTGGAGGCCGCGAAGGCAGAAGGGTCGCCGACAACAACAAGAACAACAAACACAACAAGAACAACAAGAACAACACGACCAACACGAACAACACGAACAACAAGAACAACAAGAACACACAACAACAGCAACGACAACAACCACCACCACCACAACAACAACAGCAACAGCAACAGCAACAGCAACAATAACAGCAACAGCAACAGCAACAGCAACACCAACACCAACAACAACAGCAGCAGCAGCAGCAGCAGCAACAACAAGAGCAAGAACAAGAACAAGAACAAGAACAGGAACAAGAACAAGAGCAAGAGCAAGAGCAAGAACAAGAACAAGAACAAGAACAAGAACAAGAAGAAGAACAACAACACCACCAACAACGACACCAACACCACCGCTGCCACCCCCTACAACAACACCACCAACACCAACACCAACGCCACCACCACCGCCACCACCAGCAACAACACAGACAGCAGCAGCAGCAGAAGCAGCCGCAACAACCACAAAGAAAACCAACAACCAACAATCACAACACCAACAACACCAACACCAACAACAACAATAACACCACCAACAACACCACCAACACCACCACCGCCGCCACCGCCAACAACAACCGCAACCGCGACAACCATCAACACCGCTACCACCAGCACCAACAACAACAAGCGCAGCCACAACAACCAACAACCGCAACGCCAACAAGAACACCAACAGCCACAACAGCAACATCATCAACAACAGCAGCGCCACCACCAACAACAACAACAACCACAACCACAACCACAACCACAACGACAACCACAACCACAACCACAACCACAACCACAACCACAACCACAACCACAACCACAACCACAACCACAACCACAACCACAACCACAACAACAACAGCAACAGCAACAACAACAACAACAACCAACCTCAACAAGAATGCCAACAAGGAAACCGTTCTAACAACCAACCAACCAACCAACCAACCAACCAACCAACCAAGCAAGCAAGCAAGCAAGCAAGCAAGCAAGCAAGCAAGCAAGCAAGCAAGCAAGCAACCAACCAACCAACCAACCAACCAACCAACCAACCAACCAACCAACCAACCAACCAACCAACCAACCAACCAACCAACCAACAACACCAACAACAACACCAACAACAACGACAACAACACCATCCACAACAAGGACAACACAAACAACACGAACAGCAACAACAACCAACAACAACACCACCAACAACACCACCAACAACAACAACACCAACACCAACACCAACACCAACGCCACGACCGCCACCAGCACCACCAACAACAACAAAAGCAGCAGCAGCAGCAGCAGCAGCAGTAGCAGCAGCAGCCGGAGCAACAACACCAACCACAAACAAAACCGACAACCAACAACTAACGACAACACCATCAACAACAAACGACAAACAAGAACAAGAGTAAGAAGAAGAAGAAGATCAACAACAACAACCAACCACAACAAGAACCAACCACAACCAACAACAACATCACCAACAACAACACCACCAACAACAACAACACCCAACCAACCAACCAACAACCAACAACCAACAACAACATCACCAACAACAACGACAACAACAAGAGCAACAACAACAGCAAGAACAATAGTATCATCACGAACAACACGAACAACACAAGCGACAAGAACAACGACGACAACAACAACAGCAACAGCAACAGCAACAACAGCATTAACAGCACCAACACCAACACCAACACCAACACCAACAGCAACGCCACCACCACCACCACCAACAACACCAACAACAACACCAACAACACCAAAAACAACACAAGGCAGCAGCAACAACAACAGCAACAACAACAACCGCAACAACCGCAACAGCAGCAGCAACAACAGCGGCAGCAGCCTTGCTGTTGCTGTTGCTGTTGTTGCTCTCGTTCTCGTTATTGTTCTTGTTCTTAATCTTGTTCTTGTTGCTAACGCTGTGTCTGTTGCTGTGTCTGTTGCTGTTGCTGTTGCTGTTGTTGTTGTCTCTGTTGCAGTTGCTGTTGCTGTCGCTGTTGCTGTTGCCGTTCTTGTTGTTGCTAGCAAGAGCAACAGCAAGAGCAAGAGCAAGACCAAGACCACGACCAAGAACAATAACGAGAACAAGAGCAACAACAGCAACAGCAAGAGCAAGAGCAACAGCAAGAGCAAGAGCAAGACCAAGACCACGGACAAGAACAAAAAGCAAGAACAAAAACAAGAACAAAAACAAGAACGATAGCAAGAACACCACCACCACCACACCCACCGCAACAGCCACAGCCAAGGCCACCACCACCACCACCACCACCACCGCCACCGCCACAGCCAAGGCCACCGCCACCGCCACGCCGACAACAGCAGCAGCAGCAGCAGCAGCAGCAGCAGCAGCAGCAGCAGCAGCAGCAACAACAACAACAACAACAACAACAACAACAACAACAACAACAACATCTCTCATTTTTGGAATGGTATGAGCGCCAAAGTTTTTCCCAAGGCGCAGCGCCGCGCATGGGGCCTTGGCTGCTGCCATGGCTGGCCCTGGCCGTCGCTATGTGAAGCGAGACTCCCTCCGCGGTCGATATGGGAAAACCCCCAAGGACACGGGACCCTGCTGGTCTCCTGCCGAAGCCAGGGCAAAGTTCCATGTGGGCGCCCACGTCACTTGTGGAAATTGATATTGATCGTGGCTCATGTACAGGCGCTTGCTTTTGTCTGGTGGACATGTGCCAGCGGATGCGCGCACGAGCATCCTTGTTTGGCGTTGGCTTCCTGAAGCCAAGCAGTAGAGGGTCAAGAATCTGAGCAATGATTCCCTTGGGATCTGGATTCAAATTCTGTGTACCACTATGGGGGCACCATGCAATGTTGGGGCGTTGCTTGCAAAAGGCCGCGCAGAAATCAATGGACGCGGATCACTTTGAATACTTTGCTGCGACAGGTCGCAACACATGTTGCGCTTTATTTTTCGGCTCCAGGGTGTCTTGTCGGGGGCGCAAGCCCCGCCGCCCCGACATCCCTTGCCTTCAAGCCTGAGCCTTGGCCCATTTGGGCTGAGGGGGGGGTGGAGTGCGTCACATGATTGGGTCTCGAAAAGGGGCCGCCTGGCTTCTTTCCAGGCTCCGACCCATCCGGAGTTTCTGAGGCCGTGGCCCCCCTGTTGGGGCGCCCGGTGCACGTCGAAGGCGGGGCTCCGAGCGGGGCTGAGGATGATGTGGGTCTTGCCAGTGTTTTGACACTTTGTTTTCTCGGGTGATGGTTTTCAACAGAAACCAAGAGAAAACTGACCATCCAGACCAACCTTACTTCTTTGCAGATCACTCAAACCGCGAGCAAATGGTAAGATTCTTCTTCAACTGCTGCAAGCGTGTTTCAACAGGTATGCGTCAACATAGGGGGATGTCCAAACGTGATGTTCCTTGTTTGTTCCAGGTTAAAAGTGTACACTCGAAGAAGCAAACACCTACTTAGTGGCTGGATCCCTTTCTTGCAGGAGAATCGGGATGAGCAACATTGTCATCCAAATGCATGTGTAAAATCACAAGCATGAATACGCAGTTGGAGGTCTGCTACATGTGCCACACAGTTGAACAGTGTGAACACAGTCAGGAGCCTTACTCTTCGTTTGCCTGGCACGTTGATCATTTGCTTGGCGTGTTTAGCATGCAGTGCCACAGGGGGTATCATCATCGTCATCGTCATCATCATCATCATCATCAGACACCAACATGGAACCTTCAGGCTGGCCTGGCAGGCGAGCTCGCCATGCTGGGCCTGTGCTGGGCTCAGAGGTCATTGGCTACAGGTCATGTATTCACCAAGAAATTGGGGCCCCTGCCCTGCTCTCAGACCTCTTGGTGGCTCCCAGCCATCCGGTTTCCTAGCTTTTTAGCTTTTTAGTGTTTAGTGGGGTTTTCCATTTAGCCCACTAAAAGTTAAACGTTTAGCGGGGGATCTGAGGACAGCTCAGTTCTAAGGAGCAACAAAACATGCTGCACAATTCAGTGGCCTTTGTTGGACACAGAGCCGGGAATTGCGCATGCCAAGGCTGGGTAATGCTGTCCACATCAGTGCGCCGGCAAGTTTACCTCGGCTCATGTTGGTTGCAAGGCAGCGCGGCGGGAAGCTGATCTTCAGGAGACATACTGCAGTTTTGACGGGGCTGACTTGGATAATGGCTGCGCTGGGTTTGCTAGCTGCGCTGGTGCGCTGGTTGTTGATTTATCACTGGCAGCCTCATTTTAGCATTCTTCGTGTGCATGGCAGGCAGCCTTTTGGCTGCCCTACTTTTTGCTGCTCAACACCAGCCGAGCGGCGCAACATTGAAGGCGCAGAGCTCAGAGCGGTTTCTTGCATAGCGAGTGCCCGGATGTTTGGATGGGTTTCAAAGGACACCAACAGGATTCGACATGCTTGTTTGACGTAATACACACATTTGCTTGCAAGCATTCGCATTCTGCATTCAGTGATCTTTTTGAGGCCAAGCTCGTGTCCGATGCCGTCCTTGCTGCAGACAAACAGAGGGTGAGCGACTGAGCCAGAGACGTGGAATCCCCTGCTTTTCGTCAAGTCAACCTACTGGAACCTAGGGAACGTGGTGACCGTTTCTTTGCTCCATGGTGCGAGAGGGTGCAGTCGCCCGTGTTGCCGGCTGCGAGACTGCACAATGTGCTCGCGGGCGCGCGTAGCCTACCCATCGGCCGTTTCCATTCGAAGGAAACTGAAAAACCATCTCGAGCTGGTGAACAGGGTGGCAACGGGCTTCCATGCAACTTAGCTTTGCGACAGATTGCACGGCTCAGTCGGATTTACGGCTTGCCCCCCCGCAAGTCTTTCTTTCAACCTGTCCTTCAACTGGCGGAAAGGGCAAGCCTAGGACGCATCCACACGGGCGAACGCGGTGAAGGCCTGGACTGTGGAGTCCCGGTTTCCCGTTTTGAAATGGCGGAAAAGGCACCTGAAGAGGTGCTCATTTCAGGAAAGCACGGATTTTCAGCACAGGCATTTGCAGGTCGCGACTCTGTTTCTCCAAATGCAGCCGAATACGGACGTAGACATCTCCCAGACTGGCGCACGGCCACAAAAAGACAGCCCCCAGCGCCAAAGGGCAGCTCAAGTTTTTCGGGGATGGCTGCGTCCACGGAGAGACGATGGAAGGTTGGTGAAGCAACCGTCGCCGAGAACATGGATTTCCTTACCAAGACGCTTTCGAGGCGCACTCCTTTGACAGCTGTTTTCAAAGGAAAAACAACGCGAAACCGCCCATTGGACGGTTCTTTGTTGGTGTGGCAATCATGACCATTGTTGCCTGCTGTTCTTGGCCCACTTTAGGGTTGCCTAGACTTTACGTTGCGCAGGAACGACGAAGAATGAGGGGAAGAAGGAAGAGACCGATTGAAGATCTCAAATAGTTGACAAGCCCCTTATCTCTTCGTGGAGCCTCTGAATAATATTGTCAATATGGTTCAGTGATTGGTTTGGGGTAAAACCGCTTCCAGGCAGGAGTCAATTCTTCGTTGGTATGAAAAAGGGAAGCCCAAAGGACACCATTGCCAGTTTAGGAAATGGACCGAGAACCCACCACTTTACTTGAAGCTCCCCCAGCTTCGCAGGTTTCAGAGCTTCGCCACGAATGCGCAGCTTAGCGTCCAGACGAGGCATCGCAAGGAGGAGCAACGCCTCCAGGACACGTCCGACTCCGGGCATGCGGGGTAGTGTTTTCTTAAGGGTACGCTTTTCTTGCTTAAAAGGGCAACCAAAAGGACATTTCATGCATTTTTGCATAAGAATATGGGAACCCCGCCCCCCAATATGAGGGGTTTTCGTCTGGTTTTCAACTGAACCCGAGTACCCTCCCACTCAACCCACCAGAGGATCTGGGTTTTTAGGGAAACACAGTCTTCCAAGACCCCCAATCACGTTCCAGGTTGGTTGGTGGGAGGGGAGACAACACCATCATTTTTGGGCCAGTTTGATCTGCGTGTCCCACGTTCGCATTCAACCTGTGTGTGCATTGAGAGTGTCCAAAAAATAGAGGACCACATTCGGCGTTCTTCCGAACATCCAAAAGTGGGTCTTCCCCCATTTCTATTCTCCGCCCCCGCTGGAGAACTACCGGTACTTGGTGTTTGTTGAAAGAAACGCGTATCCTGACAGCCCGACCGTACAGGAAGTCATAGCCCAAGCCAGCGATGCGAATGTGAAGACGGCCTTGGAGCAGAGCGTCCATGTGCTCAGAAACCGAAGTTTTGAGCTGGAAGGTTGTCAAAGATTCTGAAAAAGAGTTTGTCATCTATGTGAATTTGAGGAGGGCGAGAAGGAGGGAGGCTGAACACGCTGGTGAAACCCGCAGGAACCAGTCTGGAGGTGAAAAAGGGGAATGCCTTACGTCAGCAGTATGGACCCCTTTGCATTGTCTTTGTATAACAGACAATTGATTTTGATCGCCATGTATTTGGGTTCGGCTCAGCGAGAACTTGCCGCACGAGGTCAAATCGAATAAGGACGCACTCGACGAGACTCAAGGCATCTACACCAACATTGCGTGGAGCCCCATTGTCAGAAGACCTGCATGCGTGGGGTTCTGGTAGGGATGGTCAAGGAAGGACCCTTGAGGCTTCCTGTCAAGAGAGGCATGACCGTGACCCACGAATGAGGAGCTCCGCCATGGCACATGTGCGCTCAAACTTGGCGCGTCAGAGATATGGCGTCGCCGCCACAAAGGTGACCTTCTCCAATGACATGCTGTCCATGCTGAAGAAGACTTCCCAATCAGGCAGTTCATGGCCCTTTGGATATGAACATGAATTCTCGACTCTTTGGTGGACATCATTTACATGGGGATTTGTGTGCACTCATCATTTTGAGCGTTCCCCATTTAAGTTTATCGCCATGTGAGTGTTTCCAAAAGTAGCGAACCTCCTGAGATTGGGTGGTCTCCTTTTGGGTTCCGTTTGCAACCATGCGAAACGCAGGTTCCCTACTGTTGGACACTCCATGTGGGGACCTCTTGTTTGGAGAACCGCACGATCCGCCCATTTCGAGGGGTGCCCAGTTTTGAGACATGTGTCACATCTTGTGATGCAACCGGATTCATGATGGGTGTTCCCTAAAATAAGGAGCCTCCCCATGGTCCCTGAAAAGCTTGCAAAAAAAGGTGGGGGTCCCTATTTCAGCAAACACCCATAAGATTTGGACCGCCAGGCAGCAGTTGCGACCAGCTCTCCTGCGGAGAGCACGCGTCTTGTGCAGACACACTGAAAGGTGCGAATCTGAGCTGGGGAGAAAGGGCTTGTTGAACCACTGAAGTATGGGACTGAGATGGGCACTTTTCCCCTTGCTCCCCTCAGCTTCCTCTACACAAATCAACCTCGCAGCACCCCGGACGTGTAAAAGAGGGTAGCCTCAAAGACACAGGCCCAGCTCTGACAGGTGCCAGCTGTGTCTGCGATGAGGGCTACATTGGCCTTGGCCAGGAGAGTCGTTTCCCGATGGACCTTTTGGGGTGCCAAATTACTGCAGATTGACATGGAACCCCAAGAAGCAATTTGTTCAAAGGAAGCGTCCTTGTTGAAACACTCCTTTTTGTTGTTTTCATGCTAAAATCGCTAAAGGGGCTAAACCTCCCTCTGTTCTCACATAGCCTTGCCCAGAGAAGGTCAAGCCTTCCTTCTAGCAGTCTGCAGTCAATTGGGAGGGCTCACCAAGTTCCCACCAAAACTTCCCATGTCCCCCATTTAGTCATCCCTTGTACTTCCCCACATACGGAGAATTATGCCATGTACTTTCAACCAGATGAGGTAACGACGCCAAATCCGGCGCTGTTACGCTGTCATGGTTTTCGGCGGTACGACGTAATCTCTACTTTCAGGCATACACTTGCATCGTCCGTGACGTATGCATCAATCCCCTTCAGCGCCAGGAGTGCCGCGCACCAAAGGAGTTCACGCCGCACCTGCTGCTGGGCGAGAATGCCGCCCACGCAGCTGACATCCACGCGGGGGGCCTCAGCCCGGAGATGTTTGTGCAATAGCTTTGAAGCGTGCCATGGCTTCTTGGGGCAATTGGGGGCAAAAGACCCTTGGCACAAGCCATCGGGGGAAAAGACAGGGGGAGCGCAGACTTTGGGTGCCGAAAACCCGTTGGGATCAGTCGAACACAGTTGGCCCATTGCTTTCACCAGGTGGCTGCCTTCGACACCAACAAGGTGGCGGTGGTGTTCCGCGACGTGAGCCAGGCCTTCGCCGATGCACCGATGCACCGATCCAAGCCAAGTGGCAGTTTTTTTTTTGCCAAGCCGTTGAAGCGGCATTGTCGTAGGATCGGACCCCGATTGCAGTTTCGTCGCGCTTGGAGGTAGATTTGGGGCGGCGTTCGAACTGGCAGGCAGATGCCGGCGCGTTGGTGGTGGGCACTGTGGGAGAGGTGGGCTGCGGAGCAGTCAGTTTCAGAAACCCGGCTGTGACTTGAATTTTCGGAAGGAAGAAGGTAACAGGTTTCCGCTTCCCAACCGGTTCTGCGGCTCCCAAACCTTGCTGGCATTCCCAAAAAAGTCGCTGGGAATGGGTCATTCCAACTCATTCTCTGATCGACACCGATGCAGGCGGGGGCGCTAGAGTTGTCCCCCCTTGAGCTCTTCACTGCCCCAGGCCAAAAGGCGGGAAGCGATGGGGGCGTGGGGGGGGAGATGGGGGGGGGGGGGTTGGGGGGGATGGGGGTTTGAGGAGTTGGAGATTGGGCATGTTTTGGGGGAAGGCTCTCTGAAGTTCAGCATGTTGCGACCAATTTGTTTTCTTTTGTTTTGCAGGTCGAGGGAATGATGGTGGCAGAGGTGGCCTTTGGCAGGATCTTGCGGGCTTGTTGATGAAGCAAAGAAGTTAGAGGTAGTCTCTCTATTTGGATAACCGAGTAGGCCACCCATGGCCGCCGTCTGGCTTTGAGCCATTCCAGCCCCAAACACGATAAGGTAGCGAAAGCCATTTGGAGGGTGTAGTGCCTGCGCCGTAGTTCCACTCCTCGCAACAGCCCATGCTTATGCTGTGGTTGAACGCGAGTTTCCTTTGGATGATAATTGGACCTGTACACGAAGAGGCACGAGCATCATAGCCCAAACAACTTGCTGGGTTGGTCGGGGTCGTTCCAACTCATTCCTTCCCGTGGCCTATCGAAGCTCGGGAAAGCCGCGCATTGGAGTGGGCAGTCCGACTGTCCCGAGGCTTTCTCTCCAGTGGTGGCCGGAACGGATGGGCGCCGCATTGCCATCGCTTGGCGAGATGGGCAGAGAACGGGCGGCTGCAGGCCACGTCCGGGCAGATGGGGCCGGCCTGGGTGTGTGCTTTCTGAGGCTTGGTGCCCTGGTTCGCCTTGGTTTGGGAAGCCAACAGGAGAACCCCCCCCCCCCCCCAATTTTTGGGGTCGTATGTTGGCACATACCCACATGCCAAAATTCTGATGTTTGAGGACGCCCAAAACAACGTGCGCTTCTTCACCTTTTTACAACGAGTATGCAGCTTCAACCGCACATTGATTAGGTTGAGTGCTGGTTCGAACAGACAGTCCCGCTTCAGGTTTCAAGCAGCAGCGACAGGAAGCTTGTCTTTGCAAGAGCAAGCCAAAGCAAAGCATAGTCCTGTCATGTTTGGACTAGGAGCAGTTTTGTAGCCACTCGCGGCTTGCCTTCAAAGTCCCCGAATCTCCTCGCACCTGCGTACGTGCATGCCCCCGAATAGGCCAATTTCCTTTTGGTCCTCTCATCCTAATGGGGCTCCGGAATTCTTTGGAACACCCTATCTATGGCCAGCATTTTTGGGGGCGGTAGCCCCCTTTCAATTGTTCGGAGAATCTCGCCGCTACAGACTGGAAACTGGGTGCCGCAGACATTTTGGAGGCCGGCCTCGTGTTTCCAAACCTGAGAACTTCTCCCGGGTTGGACATCTGTCCGGTTCCACCCAGAGCCTGTTCCCGGGCAAAGAAAAGCCCTTCGGGAAACCGCAGGCCAAAACCATCCCTTGTTTCCCTGAAAACACCGGCAAGCCAAAGAGAAGCCGGAACTCGTGCAATTCACCCCCCTCGATTTGCCAATGTTGGGACTCGATGGCACTTTGCTGCATTTTGCTTAGGACTTTCACTTTTTGCCAACCAAGGGGTGTTCCATGAAACCACTGAAAGTTAAACTTTGAGCAGGGCAGAAAGCGACCGAGGGAAGCTCCAAGTTGGGGTGCCCCCCAACCAGGCTGCGCGGCGCCGCCCTGGGCGCCTCCGGTATCCGGGGCGCGGAGATGGCGCGGGGCCCCGGCGACGGGGGCGTCAAAACCCAAAGGGGGATGCAATGTATGCGAGATCATGGGGGTTGTGGGCCGTGGACAAAACTCCCTGGGGGGAAAAGACCATTTGCAATGCTCCTATGGCACATATGGGCTTGTGTCAAATGGGAGGATCCCAAGCGGCTTCCCTAGCTTCCCTTCAAGTTGAAAGGCACCGATTCGGGGGGCAAGCGGGCTCAATTCTAGTGGAGGTCATTTACTTGAAGATTCCTGATTGTCATGGCGAAATCTAAATCCCACTCTAAGCGCCCTGATACGCACCGGGCCCCAGAGCCAAGGTTTGGAGAGAGTCTCCTTTCCGGGCACCGTTTGGGGCATGGCAAAACCTGTAGCTTGCTTGCTCGGCTTGTATGGGAAGCATACCCCATATGGCAACGCGATCGTGCTGGGTTTTCGATTCGAGCCCCGGCTGATTGCTCCATTCTCTTGAGAGCAAGCAAGTGGGAGAGGCGGTGGAGCCACGGAGGTGAAGAACAGCCACGTTCTGTTGATCATGGGCAATCACTTGAACAAGCGTTGTGCAAGTACTAGTACCCTGAAACCCAGTTTGATTGAACAGATTCCTGAACTGGTGGTCATTCCCGGGTTTAGTCCATTTCCAAAACCAAGCGCATGCAAATACAGAGCTGATACTCAGTGCTACATTGGTCGAGTTCGAAACCCAATCAATGGAGCCACAGGAGGGATGCGGCGATTCTGTAGGGGTTGGGATTGCAGAATTTAAAGTGCATACTGGTCGCGTGTGCAAGTCTCACCCTTTGATAGTTTGCGACCTGAGAATTGATGGCATGCATTTGTGGCAGTCTCAAGCGGCGTTTGAGAAGCAGCCACACTGGTCAAACTAAGGGACCGTTTCAAACGATGCATAGAAGGCCAGCTGGCAAGGCGTCCATGTTGAACAGTGTGTTTTTTTCCTTCAGTGGGATCCTTTCCTCCAACATGCTGCGCCTCGCCGGCATGGTGCGGCGCTTGCCAGCGCGCGGAGATTTGCACCTGGGAAGTCTCGAAGGCAAAAGGGAAGCAGGGAAGCGAAGGCCAATGTGAGGTCCGCAAGTCTGGGCAACCTTGAAGATGACCAGTGAGCCCTCTCCACAACCAGGAAGTTTGTACAGAGAGATCATGTTGCAACTCCCAGTGCTTTGCGGGTCATGACCGTTTCTTTTCTTCGAATGCAAAACTGGCAAATAGGAGGAGGGGGCGGGGAAACAGATTTCCTAAAACAAGAAAGCATCTTCTCAATCTTACCAGTGCCCCTGTAGGACCGCAACTGAGTGTTTTCATTCGCTGCTACAGGGCAGTGTGACAAAAGCAAGCAACCAGCAGGCGATGCCTTTGGAACAAATGGATCGGGTGGGCTTGCTTGTGTTTCCCTGCAAAGCTATCCATGAAGAGCTCTCCTCCAATTGTAGGCATTGCCGAGCTCATTTCCTGCAGTTTGGCTGATGTTGGACAATATTTCGGCCGTCAGAGGTGAGCCGACCCAAGTTGCCATCAGGCTTGCTGACACTTGTTTAAATCTGCGTGTGCGTTGTCTGTTGTTGCGTGGCATTCAGTTTGCTGTGCGGTGTCACTGCAAGCCAGTGCCCTCAGCCCGCTTTTTCGTTGTGTCATTCTGTGGGGCTGTACGGGTTGTCAGGTTGTGTGGCAGAAACCTCTTTCATGATGCTGCATACAGATATTCCATGGCATCTTGGTGTCATTCTGTGGTTCATTTGCTGAGAATTGGTGCCGCTGCATGCTCTTACTTTCTCCGCGTGCCCGGACGTGCCCACAATGGCCTTTTGCCGTGCTCAGGGCACATGATGTGCCCGTCCCAGCTCCGTTGCATTCAGGACCGACACACCCGTCGATTTGAAACCCGATCGATTGCTTTTTGGTTTGCCTCGCTTTTGTGTCTGAGGCACCCACGTCCCTGGCCTCCCGCGGCTTTCGCAAGCCAATGGCTCCGCCCGCGGAGCTCCCTGGCGCAGGCCAGAGGTGGCATGGCCGGCCATGAAGGGCTGTTGGCTTTGGTGAGGGTTGGGCCTTTGCCACCTGTTGCAATCTGGCAAGCATTGTTTGAAACGAATGAAATCGCAGCTAAGCTTCCCAAAGGCTGTCTAGAGTCAGATTATTTGGAGTGATGCGTCATTCGGTAACATTGGCGCCTTTACGATCAACTTGAGGGAGGTGCTGGTGCGCAGGCTGCTATCAGATATCCAGATGTTTCTCCTCCTGGGTCGATGATGCTTCCTTTAGACGAGCGCCCTCTGACACAGCTTCCGCAAGTTCTGGACCGAGTGCGCTGCGAGACTTAGTTTTTTGGCTGCTTTGCAGCGCCTCTATCGCTATAGCCATTGCTGCGACAGGACTCACTCGAGCCGACTATGCTTTGCAGAGGGAGGCCGCCTGGCTGAAAGACTTGACACTCAGGGACTGGTCTTTTTTTTTCCACGTGCCAGCCGGTTTCCTGAGGCGCAAGAAGGGTGGCTGGGGTCACAAGCGTGGACGAGGGATGAGGAAGGGGAAAACCTGCTGAGTCGGGGTCTTAAGGGCTTGTGGGCTCGGGACTAGCTAAGGGCCGAGAAAGGAATGGTGCTGGCAATCCATGTGTTTGGCCAAACTGACAACACTGTTATGATTATGACTCAGGTTTGTGCTGCCAGCTGATGCCAGCGGAAGTCTGTGCGAAAAGCGCGGTTTGAGTCCGATGCTTCCTGCGTGGAGAACAGAGACATAACATTGTGGCAAGAGAGCATGCACTGGCACCCTTTGCCAAGGCATTGTCTTGGGGGACGACGGTGGATTTTTGCGGCGATCAGGCGGAATCCGAGTTTCTCTTTGGGCAAGCACTGCGTTGGCCCCCGGACCGCTAGGGGACTAGGGGCCGCTGTTTTCCAGTGGCTGTTTTTGGGCTGCAAGAGCTGGGGAGCCGCGAAACCTGGCGGGAAAGCCGTCGATGGGGGCTTGCGAAAAGCCTGGCTCTCTTGGATTCGAAGAGAGGCCCACAAGATGTCCATCCAGCCCTTCGAGCAGAACCGCATCATGGTGCTCTATTCCGACAAGGCGTGAACAAGGAAAAGGCTCGAGCGCCATTTGCTTCGGGCGGATTCTTGAAGGACACCTCCGCAGCATTTGATGAAAACTCAACACCCCAAATCCCCTACCCTGCGTCTTACACAATCTTAAGCCACTGCTCTGCGTGAAAGGCATGGCATCTTGTGAGGCAAGGGGAGTCACCACCGAGTCCTTCGGGAACTCGCTCCTGGCGGACATCGGCAATCTGGGCGCCCTGGCTGGCGATGATTTCGAGTGCCAATGCTGGTCTTGCAGCGCCTTCCACTGGGTCATCTACGTCTTTTGTGTGGTTCTCAATGAAGAAACAGCGTCCATCATGACCACCTCACGGCACAAGCATGTCCGAGAAATTTGTTGAAGTTGCCTTTCCATGTCATGCTATCGTTGGGGGTGTAGTTGACTTGCCCTCGAGCTCGAAGTAGCTGTTGATCGAGGTTGCGATGGAAAGCCCACGGGGCAGAGAGAGAGAGAGAGAGAGAGAGACGTGCACACAGATGATATGTCAAGTGGGCAGTGCAGCTCAGGCAACGTCTCGCTTCTAGGTCGGGATCTGAGCCTTGGAAGTTGACATGAAGCCGACTGCTTTGTCAGGCAACTTCCGCTTCACAGACAATGCCGTTGCCCGACTGGAGGCTGTGCGGGGTTTAGGGGAAAGGAGGAGCGCTGGTTGAGGCGTTCCGTGCCCCCACGTACACGTGAGCGGCCTCCAACCCCCGTACCACCTGGTTGAATGGGGATTGTAAGAAGGCCGATGCAAACCTTCATAGCCGTTTTGGTAGAACCAAAGGCAAATAAGTTTGAGTCCTGTTCAATGGACATAACATGTGTGCTATACCTGTTGGGATGAGTGGGTGTTGAATCTCATCTTGGAAGGCGACGAAGGTGGGCAAGAACAGCTTCGTCTTGGCATTGGCCTCATGGACCACTTCCACGAAGCAAAGCAAATCCTGCGTGTACCGAGGCAGCGAGGGCGTCTCCTGCAGTGGATGACTTGAATCCTCAGTCTTCGGTGAAGCAGGAGGACTGGGTTGGTGAGAAGTGCGGGACCCTCTGAGATGGTTGAACTTCGGTGCCTCTCAAAGCGCAGTGCATCCAGGTGCACCGTTGAGCCTTGAGCATGGCTGTTTCTTTTCCGCTGGGCAGTTACACTGGATCCCTGAAAGTGAAAGTTTTTGAGGGGTTCTGAACACCATTTTTTTTTTTGCGGTGGTTACCTGTAAGCCGCCATGTGCAGGGCAATGTCGAGGATGGCCTAAACGGACCCCGCAGGCAAACCTAGAAGCCTGAACCACGACCCAAGGGGTGGACTCGCCTTTGCGCATCCTGCCGGGAAGGCCATGGCGATGTACGGCGAGCTGGTGGGGGAGGATTTGGTGTTCGACCCGAATCCAGCAAGCCCCCTAGGACGGTGAAACAGCCACAAGCAAACGCGTGTGAAAAAGGGGGGCTGGCGATGCTGGTTGAATCATGCGTTTTAGATGTCGTCGGAATTGCTGGAACAGCCCATTTGCTACCACTTCATTGATTCCCCAGATTGTGACGCTGAATTCTCGTAACCTTTTTGTTGGGGCATGGGTCTCAACGCTGGGCTCGCTGGGTTTTGCAGCTGCGCAGACTTGCGGCCCAGGTCAACCTCGAGACAGCAGCGGGCCAGGTGTGGGCCCGCGGGCTGTCCCTCATCGCGCCCAATACCGTGGCCTACGCCTACCAGGATGGCTCGCCACTCGGCGCGAAGCTGGGGAGAGTGGGCAACCCTGGGACTTGGTCAGGGCCTCGTAGGTGCCGCACATCGAGCTGAAGATCTCGGCATCTCAAGAAAATATTTTTGGAGTTATACTAGTGTGGGGATCCACACCTAAATGCAGAGATACAGTGGTACAAGCGCAGCTTGTATGTGATTCACCCTATCCGGGTCGAGGGTTTAGTGCTTCCATGATGCTGGCTTGTGGAGTTTTTAAGCTGAGGAAGATGCAGCTGAAGCTTGCAGTGCTCGACATTGACCCCCAGACCCATCGCATGAAGGCGCCAGCGCTGCACGTGGCGTCTCACTTGGCTCTTCCTGGCTGAGCCGAGGTCGTCCAAAACCCGGCCGCCATTCGGGAGGGCTTTTCGCCTGGTGCTTGGTGCTCTTCAGCATAGAGACCCCCAATTGCTTTCTCACGCTTGCCAGGCTATGTGTCAAACACTTTAAGCGTCAAAGCCCGTTCACAGTTTGAAGGGATCCGAAAGCTCTCATCTCTCTTACTGAGGCCATATGTCTCAATGCTGTCGATGCCATACTCCGAGCCGCAGCCTTGGCATTCATAAGCAGCAAGGGGCGCTCTGTGATCTTTCCCAAGCAGGAAGTCTCAGCATGTTTTGTGGTTTTTTCAAGGGTACCCTTTTTAAGGGTACCCTTTTTAAGGGTACCCTTTTAAGGTTGTTGCAAGGAAGATCAACATGAGCACCATTTTTGGGTGTCCTCTTATATGAGACAAATATATCTATCTTAGACTACCAAGGCCCCCGGGCAACTGGATTGACCAACCCATTTTTTAGGTCGGATGCCTATGCGCTGACTTACTACCAAGGCCAGACTCTGGGCTGTCAACTTTCGTGCCCGGTTGGCTTTCCCTCGGCTTTGCATCACCCAAAAGCAACGTCATTCCAGGGTCTTTCCGCTGGGAGCTTCTTGTTAGTATGAACATCACCTTGCTTGCGGCCAAGACTATTTTCCGTTTCTTCCAAAATCGCCCGCGCAACTTGCTGTTGAGGGGTTTCAAGCATCACCTTTCCCTGACGAGTTTCCTGCAAGGGTGATGATGTTGGTTGAATCGCAGGTGATAAGGAGGCCGTCAGCATTTGCGCCTGGAAATCTGCCAGACAGCGGCTGGAAAATTGCGAGGCAGGAACATTGCGTTACACAGAAGGGTGCCAAGCTTGTAGTGCAATTCAGCTTGGCAACAAGCAGTTGCAACGAACTTGATGCCACTCGAAGGTGGGGAGCCGCTTCGTGTTTTGCAGATAGCAGGACTTCCCGTGGCTTTCCCAGAAGACCTCCTCGGTCTCCGGCGTCAGCATTGGAGAAGGCCTGCAACTCAAGAAGACACCGCTTGTTCAACGATGGTAGCAGTCCTTCCGGGACGTAAGCAGAGGCCGCTCTTGTGATTACTCTATGCTTGGGATACTGGACAGAAGTACCAAGTCAATCAAGATTCCCAATTCAATTCCCAAATAGCACAAGCAAGCTGCCACCAGACATACCAAGTGCCTTGCGACAACTTCGCTTTGCTCAATTTGACTTTAAGCGACCATGGTGTAACTTGACGGCCAGGTCGTGTGCTCATGACTTTCGCAGTCTCGGGCACCCCGTGCGACCTGTTGCACACTCTGCGCCTGTCACAACCGAGTAGGGATCCAATTGATTTTCGGAGTTGCTCGGGGAAAAATGTGTGCAAGCACATCTGCTCAACACAATGACGCCTTATCCATTAGGCGACTGGTCCTGAGTGCCCACTGCAATGAAAGAAGCATGGAGACGGTCAGCATTCAAATCATGACACATTGATGCATCATCATTCATCATATTCATCTTCGTCATCATCATTCATTCATCAGCATGCAAACATCAGCACAACATTCATCATCATTCAGACACACACACACACAGACCCACACACACACACACTTTCATGTATTCATTGTAGCGATTTCTTTTGATTTATGTAGTTTCCGTCGTTGTCTTTGTATGTTTTAGTCGAGTCTCTTCGTAGCAATGGAAGTATTTATCGCCCTATTTTTGGTGGATGTTCAACAGAAAAAGGGGGAAACACATGAGCATAAAAAAAAGTAGCCAAGAACTCTAATTCTGTAAGAATTTGATATCGATAATTCATTATCTTTTTTTTTCTACATGAGCATACAGAAACATGAACATACAGAAATGACATTAAATAAACGTATTCCTGCAAACAGGACAATCTTTATTTCGGTATTTCAATTGCTGCATCCATTTTTTTAAAGAACCTTCAAGAAAGGTATGAGAACAGTTTCTCAACTTTTTGGTCAGCTATAAGCCTTTGAGATGAATCCTATGAATCAAAATAATTTCATTCAATGACTTGATGTTGCTCCACGCTGTTTGTATACCGAGCAGGAGGGGAATGACAAAGGATTGTAGCAGGAGCCAGAATGCAACAATCAAAGATACTCACGTTCTCTTCCTTTTCCGGCATATTTGTTAACAGAGGGCGGCCGTTTCATCGATCCGTTCACACTTCGATTACCTTTGTTCAAAAATATTGATGCAAGTATACAAATTGGCAAAATAAACATGGAATAGAATTATCAAACTTTGGATTGGCAATATTTTTTGAGTCATTGCCAAAACTTGTTCAATAGCACCAGGAGAAGCTCTAACAATAGCATCAATGTCACGAGAATGAACTAAAAATCCCATACGACGAAATACCTTGAGTAAGTGTGTACATATTGTCCCTTTCTTTGAGTGTCCTCCAGTTATAAAGTTTATGAGAGAGCGAATTTGGCGCTGAATAATTGTGAAGACCAATCTTTTAAATTACACGGATTCACCACTAAACTTTTCAGAGAAGCCGAATTGGCATGGAATTTATTCAGTCGTAGATTATAACATAATACAGTAGTAGATCTGACTAGGGTTTGTGATGAAGTGGGATATCGATGCTTGGATTGAAAAGCTTAAAAAGTTCAGATCCTTACGCTTCAATAGGTTCTGACGTGCAAATCGATCTTGTAACTTGAGCGTAGGGGCGAAAGACTAATCGAACCATCTAGTAGCTGGTTTCACTGCCCTTAGGATAGCTAAGAATGAGAAGTTATATCGGCTAAAGCTAATGATTCGAGTTTTTTGCGGATTTAATCTTCGATCTATTTTCAAACTTTGAATGGGTATATACAATGTATATTGCTTATTTAAAAAACATATTATACAGCCCCACCCCCACACCCCCACACGCACACGCACACACACACACACACACCCACACCCACACACACACACACGCACACGCACACGCACGCGCACACGCACACGCACACGCACACGCGCGCGCCCACGCCCACGCCCACGCCCACGCCCACGCCCACACCCACACACACCCACATGCACACACACATACACACACCCACACACCCACACGCACACACATACATGCATACATACATGCATGCATGCATACATACATACATCGTAAATACATACATACATACATGCATGCACGCATACATACATACATACATACATACAATTGTAAATACAATCACAGCCACATACATATATACATACATACATACATACATACATACATACATACATACATACATACATACATACATACATACATACATACATACATACATACATACATACATACATACATACATACATACATACATACACACATACATACATACATACATACATACATACATACATACATACATACATACATATATACATACATACATACATACATACATACATACATACATACATACATACACACACATACATACACACACATACAGACATACATAAATACAATCGCAAGCACACATACATACATACATACATACATACATACATACATACATACATACATGCATACACACACACGCATACATACATGCATGCATACATATATACATACATACATACATACATACATACATACATACATACATACATACATACATACATACATACATACATACATACATACATACATACATACATACACACATACATACATACATACATACATACAATTGTAAATACAATTGTAAATACAATCGCAAACACATACATATATACATTCATACATACATACATACATACATACATACATAGATACATACATATACACACACACATACACACATACATACCTACCTACCTACGTACGTACCTACCTACCTACCTGGATGCAGAAATACATACATACACACATTCATATTCACACATACACACATACATACACACATACATACATACATACATACATACATACATACATACATTCATACATACATACACACTTACATACATTCATTCATACACACACATACATACATACATACATACATACATACATACATACATACATACATACATACATACATACATACATACACACACATACATACATACAGACATACATGAATACAATCGCAAGCACACATATATACATACATACAAACCTACGTACATACATACATACATACATACATACACACAGACACATACATACATACATACCTACCTACATACGTACATACATACACACACACACATACATACATACATACATACATACATACATGCATGCATGCATACATACATACATACACACACAGACATACATACGTACGTACGAACGTACGTACGTACGTACGTACGTACGTACGTACGTACTGATATACATATGCGTATACATATTCATATACATATACATATACATACACACGCACACCTACACATACACATATACATACATATACACATACACATACACATATACATAGATACATACCTACCTACATACATTTTATACATACATTGCATGCCTACCTTGCATACGTACATTTCATACATACATTGCATACATACATACATACATAGATAGATAAATAGATACATACATACGTACATACATACATACAATGAGGCTCACCGCGCTGCAATCGCACCCGCCGGAGGTACTACTCGGTTTTCGGCTTGTCCAAGAATTGACAGTGAGAGAGGACCCGGACCTGAGCAAAGCCGTTTCCGTGGAGACGTGAGACGTCCCTGCCGTAGCTCACGCGCGTTGGAACAAAAGCTGCTTTGGCTTGCCAGGTGCCGCTTCTAAGGTGTGCCTTGAGCCTGCCAGGACGCGGCGAGTTGGCCCAAGAAACATGTCAAGGAAAGGCAAAGCATTTTGACAGGATCTCAAAATATGGCATCAAAGGAAGTTTACACATATCTTTCGAAGTTGTAAGCCTGCGATTTGAAGCGGTCTGATAGCGTGAATCTTCGTCTTGCTGTCCATGCAGAGGAGGCACGGCGCTGGTGTTCCCAATGACCTACCCTGCCCCCCCTCCCACCAAATTCCACAAGGATGCGGGATGATTGGGAAGTAGACCCAAAAGGCTCTGCGGGTGCTTCCTAACAAAGGGAAACGCACGCCGACAGTTGTCTTGCTTTTGGCGCCGCTTTCTTGGAACGCAGCTGCTTGAACCCCCATTGTGCCCCGCATTTTGGATGCTGTTCAAGCTTCGCCAAAAGCCCAGCCTTCAGCTTTCTTCAGGCCTGTGGATCCGTTGGCTTAGGTTATGGAGAGGACTGCCATTGAGATCACCGGGGGGACCACAGAGTGGACTAGCAGGCGGGCTTTGGGATGCGTTCCTTTGCGAGGCTTTCTATGGGCTTTAGGGGATGAGGAGTTTGATTTGATCTTCAATGGGACCCGAGCGTCGATTGCCTTCTGATAGCAAGGGCCACTGACTGGTTCATGAGTTCAGCGCATGGGGCCCTCACAATGTCCCGACATCCCACCAAAGAAACGGGGGCTCCCCACGAGCATATTCTCCGCTAGGCTGAGCCTGAAGAAGGCCATGGAGAGGTTCGGCGAGGCAACGCTGTGCAGATACCCACCGGTTGATTTCAGGGGTACCCCCGTTGACATTCAATTCCGTTGAGGTTAGAGAATGAACCCTGTGAATTTGTGGGCCGCATCCAGATCATGTTCAATGCGGATTCATCTGGATGACTGTACACATCGAAGGGGCACACACCTTGACGACTCCGCGGGGGTCTCTTAATCCGAAGCGGGCTTAGCTGGTGAATAATCCTCTTCGGTTGAGAGCATCTGGAACAGATTGGGGTGTGTTTTTCTTTGAGGTACCCTGTTTGGGTTTGGTTTCTTCCCAACAGTAGCTCCTTTTGAGGGTTCTCCTATTTGGAGACACCCCCGGTTCGCGTCTTGCGCAGGTCATAGGTTGTCATATTGGAAACCGCGGGGTGGACAAGCCGGTAGTGCGGTACGTGAGCGGGGAGGTGGCGCAGACGGCCCACCAGGCCTTGAGGAAGGGGGAGATCGCGCCTTGGCTGCAACTTACTTCCTGGGAAATTATGATGCTATTTGGGTATGTTAGTCTCGCTTGGATCTTCAGACTTTTTTTTGTGGAAACGATGATGTTACCCACTCAAGATCAAACAGTTTAACTCTGCGCACTCGATGATCCATGTTGTCGCAATTATTTTTGTCGCGGTTCGTCTTGCTGGATTCACTTGCCCTTCAACGGCTACAGCGCTTGTTGTTTTTTTGCTTGCTCCTTATTTTCTCTGGTTCCACGCTCGCCTTAGACCGGTCTCTACCAACCATAGTGTGGAAGCAAACGGTCCAACTTTTGCAGGGTTTGAGCCCAGGTGCTGGACGGAATGATTTTGGAAGGGGACTGGAAGCCGGATCGCGGAAGGCCGGCCGCAATCAAAAGGAGATGGGGTGGGGGTGGCTGGTTGCTGGAGCGCGTTGCGTATGCTGCGTGTTGATTGAGCAGGTGGGCAAAGAATGGGAGCCTTTTGGGTCATGGCATTGGTAGCCCTTGTAAATGCCATCCCGGCCAAGTTTTTAAGTCCTGACCCCCTTTGAGCCACAATCAACCCCCGGGCCCCGGGTAGATGAAGGTTAGCAAGGGATAGTCCCAACAGCAACTGGGTGCAGCCGCCTTCGTATATTCTGGGTCGACCATTTTCATAAGGGTTTTGATTATAGCTCTCGGGGTTGATTCCCCATTCTTTTCAACCATCGTTCTTTTCAAAAACCGGCTGTTTCCCCTGGGTTTTTGATTCCTGAAAGAAGGATCCCTGCAAATGGGAAATGGAAGGTACCCCTAGAATAACTCATTGGGGTTCCAGATCTCGGCTTGGACCTCGTGTGGGGGGGGCAAAGAGCTTCCGCAGGCCGCCGCCAGAGATGCGCAAAGAGCCCCGGGAGGCGGAGATGCCGCTGGCCGCAAGGGGGCCCCAAACTCGCGGGTCTGAGCTGGAGCCAGGGGTCCACTCGGATCCACGGGGCTTTTGCTGGATCCAAAGATAGATCAACTCGGAGTTCAGCTTGCAGTGCTCTCGGGGTTCAGCTGCCGAGCTTGCCCGCACCAAGGACAAGCCGGGACTTCCTCACAGGCCATGCGCTCAGAAATGGAGATCAGCTTTTGTTGGGTCGGCGGTTTGCTCAGTGGTCCCCTGGTCAATAACTGTTGTTTCCCTGAAACAGTTTCTTTTGGGCACCGGGACCCAAAGGACCCGTCCCTCTCGCCTCTCAGGCATGAGGGCACGCCGCGACCGCCGAAGCACCCTGGCATCGGTCGAAACCTTCCGCTGCTTGGGGGGAGCAGTTTCAGACCCTTGGTCAGTTTTCCTTCTGTGGGTCTAGAAACGAGCAACGAGCTGATATTTGCCAACATCGTTTTGTCGCACTTTGTCATTTTGTGTCGTTCCTCGAGCACGGGGGACCTCCCCACCGGACCCAAAACTCCCGGCTTCGACCCCTGCGAGGTCGAAGCCGGCGGCGCCGCAGAGATTGACGCGGCGCTTCGCAGCGCCGGCGCTTCGCAGGCGGCGGTGAAGGCCCCGGTGAGGCGTCCCCCGAGCCTTTGGCGAGAGCCATCGGGTCCAAGGCACCAGGGTTACGGGAAAAGAGAAAAAGGGTTCCCCCATTCCACTTCTAGGGTCTTGCGGAAGTGGAAAAAACACCTCAGAGTCAAGACTCGCACCCGGGTAGGCAGGGATCGACTCGATCCATGGCCCAAGCTTTGATCAGGGCACATGTGGAACACTGCTGCTTTTTCTGCTGGTGTTCTGAAACCCATCCAAAGCGGGGTGCCCCAATTGATCCTTCAAGGTGCTACCTGCATCGCATGGGAGGCACAGCATGCTGCTGCTGCTGCACATGGCAAGCTGTCCGCAATCTTGAGTTTTGCGGGGACGTTTCGCAGCATGCGGTGCTCGGTGAAAATGAATCAGCGGCGGCCGCCGAAGTGCTCATTCATGCTCATATGACTCATGCACTCGATGCTCTATCCTCGCACAAATTAACATGGAATCGTGCCCTTGTTGGAACTCTCCTCTCGAGCAAGGATGCACGTCCATGTTCGTAGGGAATGCCATTGCCTGTTTGGCTCGGGGTGGGGCAGGAAAACGGATCGCCCTTGGGTTGCCAGTACCATGCGAGGTCCCATGATGAAATTCAGAGCTTGCCGTACCCAACTCACCGCGCCCCGCTGCCACGAAGGGTTTTCCTGGGAGCGCTCGGTAAGGATTGCTCTGGCGAATTTGTCGAATCAGCTGTCGCCTTGAGGGGCCCGAGGCAAAAAGACAAACACACAGGACTTCACTCGACTTTCAAGCTCTAGTTCGCCTGACTCTGCCCTGAGGGTTAAACTGGTCGCCAACGCCGCCAGCCGTCGACACTGCCATGGATCAGATACAGTTTCAGAACTTCAAGGCTCCGGCAAGTGCTTGGCTCCGGAGTTGACCTCTTGAACTCTTGAGGAAAAACCAAAAGGGGTGAACAGGAAAGCCCGGCTTGGCTCCCACTCGTATGGTTTGTGGCTTTCTCGTTTCGTGTTGCCATCTAGGTGCAGCTGCATCCGCAATGCACCGTGAAGAATACGTGCCTCGGCGCAAGTGATGTTCTTGAAGGTTCCTCAAAAGATGCATCCTGACCCTGTTGAAACACATTCGTTTCAAGCTCTGAAGCAAACTCTCTGGTCGCTTGGCGAAGGATCTATCGCTCGTGAAGCCTGAAACCTCGCCGAGGTTTCTCAACGTCGAAGACAATGTTTCCAGCGACGAGGAATTGTACACTCCTTTTGAGAGGTGCAATATGTCGGCGCCTCCGGTCCTCCAGGAGATGGATCGGGTGGGTTTTAGGAGGGTACTTTAGGACATCACAAGGACAGCTGCAAAAACCGATTTTGACATGCCGCCCATATGAGCAACCGAGATCAGAGAATTCTTGCCAGAGTGGTCGACTACTTTTAGTGTGAAGCAAAGGCAATCCTTGTTTGCCCAGTAATGTCTGGTCAAAATAACCCCAAACAAGGGGCAGCCTCAAAAGACACATCCAGATGTACAGACGTGACTACCGTAACATTTGCCATTCACCGCCTGAGTTGTCACGGGAACAGGACCCGGCCTATGTGCGCACAGACGGTTCGTCGGCTGGGGGCTCAGCTTTGAGCTCCCAAACTCCCTGTTGGCCATTCAGTTGGTTCTATGTGGTTTCATAGGGATGGACATAGCCAGGCCAATATCAACCTTTGCCAAAAGTGGGGCTTGCTGTTCTTCAGGGCTTCTGCTTCCTGAGGCCCGGGACTACTACATGCGTCTTCCGGGCCCGTGCTCTCAAATCCTACAGGTCTCCTTCCCGGAACAGATTTGCGCTCGGCGCTGAGCAACCGCGCAGGCGTCATGCTGGGCGTTGGAATTGATTTGGGTATCCCTTTGGTTTCCGAGGAAAACCCAAAAGGGTACCCTAAAGAACGACAAAGCATTTGACTGAAGTTGACTCCTAGCTGCAAGGGCAGCAAGCATGAGGGCTTCTGCTTCCTGAGGCCCGGGACTACTACATGCGTCTTCCGGGCCCGTGCTCTCAAATCCTACAGGTCTCCTTCCCGGAACAGATTTGCGCTCGGCGCTGAGCAACCGCGCAGGCGTCATGCTGGGCGTTGGAATTGATTTGGGTATCCCTTTGGTTTCCGAGGAAAACCCAAAAGGGTACCCTAAAGAACGACAAAGCATTTGACTGAAGTTGACTCCTAGCTGCAAGGGCAGCAAGCATGATCTTGCCGGGCTCAACTCGTACTGGTAACCTGAGGGAAGGTTGACCTGGTATGTACAGTATTGATATACCCTTGGCATCTGCATATTCGCAATATGTACACATATGTCATGTATATATATATATATATATATTAGACGTATGGTGCTTGTCAGAGACGTTTGTTATGAATTGCAAAACATAGGGAACCCACCCAAGATGCGGTTACCTTTCGACAGCGCTCCCTCGAATTCGCTTAGGAAGATGACCTTCATATCCCCAGGAGCCGAGAGTCTCCTTGTGCTTGGACCAATCTCTGCGATTTCATTGAGACCCCGGAACGGGCATGGTCGATTTTGGCAATGGGTATGTTTTGGCAAATTTGGGCATGTTCTTGCGCATTTGTTGGGCGCATGATCGCCAATCTGTTGATCCAAACTGGTTGGAGGACATCTCTGTCAAATAAGCTGCCGCTTAGCTTCATATCATGCTTGGCCTATGGCTTCAGAATGAAATGGCTGGCGAGCTTGCGCAGATGCCTGAACCATTTGAGGTCATCCGGGACACACGATGAGCAGGACAAGTCTGCAGTACAACCCATGAAGAGTGCTGGCAGTGCAGGGCATCCGGACAATTGCAAGGCGCCCTGCCGTTCAAAATTGCTCGTCGTCAGTATGCTTGACATGCACGTTCGGGGCAAGGGTGAAGCAGGGCGAGTTCAACACGTCCGCAGGCCCACACGCATGCACAT